CCCCAAAACCCCAAAACCCCAAAACCCCAAAACCCCAGAGGTAGAATATAGTGTTGAAAATGCATTTATGAAAAGAATAAAGCTATTTTTAGAGCCATAGTCTATTCCCTGAAGTTAGTGCTCTCAGACTCTCCTTCAGCTTTTGCCTTCTCATTAGGATTTAGATTTCTTACTTTTTGGTTCAGTCAGACGAGGTCAAACCATTCGACTACCTTTCCAACTGTTATAAATCAATAATGGGCCATAACAAGGCCTGTAAAGATATCTATTGTGTAATGGACTCTGAAAGTAAGCAATGTAAAGCCGACAAAGATCGTCCCGAATACTCAGAAAATTGCTGATTTTACAGCTTTCAAGTTCATATTTTCTAGTAGGCACAAAAGACAGAACCCAATATGACCTGAGTAGAAGAAATCGCTCTGTCTTCCATAGATATTCAGGAGTCATGGGAATCCAGGATCTTCCCAATACATATGCTCTGGAAAAGGTAGTATATACAATTGTTGAATGACAGCTCTGATGCCGTAAAACATAAGCACACTGATTGGAGTCCTCATAGAATATCCATCTTTAAACCAATTGATCATCACAAAGAAGAACTGGAGGTCTAATAGAAAGGAAGTTGTTGCTATCCATACATCTCTGAACCCAGGATTCTCCATTGCGAACAAATTTAGGGGAAGTAAGAGCTGATGCATAATATCATACGGCTTTTCTACATCAATCTTCTGTACATACTCTCCATATTTCACGATCGAACTGCCTGTGACCATAAGGATGATTACAAGCAGCTTGAACCAATTAATCAACAAAAATTCCTTGACTCTGATCCTTAAAGAACCTATAGTGTTCACCAGAGGTATATCCTACTGTTTAGCTTCTGTATGAACATAATACTCGCTCCGTCTTTATTATCCTTTCCTTCATCAACTATCTATATCACAGCCAGTCAGATACTTTCTAGCTCAAAGCTGGAAGACCATAGGAGAGGCTCATGGTCGATCGACATTTTTATATTAATTATCGTATAATCGATAATTAATAATCACTAGTATTTTCGCTTAAATCTTGGAAGCCAGAAAGTTCCAGAACAGACTGTGATTTATGAAAGATGAAAAATTTCTCATAAATTGTGGTATTTACAACATAATAACGTCATTTGAAATTAGATTTTTGTTTTGGAAGAGGCCTCTACAAGGAAGCGTAGAGGTTATAAGAGAAGTACCTAAAAATCCTTTAGAGCTTCAGAAGCCATTAAGGAGACAGATCAGCAGGCGAGTATAAATTTTTGGAGTAATAAAAAGTTGGGTGAAGAGTAAGCGATCGAGTCAAAAACAATTTGTGTATATACTCTAGGTGTCAGAATAAGTAAGGCAATGAACGTGTGGACTTAGCGAGGGAAAAGAGTAAACAAAGCTATTCGATCTTAAGATCTCTGTCTATGTACAGAAGCTGCTATTTTGAGCAATGCAGACTGCAGCTTCTAAATTCTGCCAGGCTCGACTCATCTGCTCTTATCTTTCTAGCCTGTCATATTAAGGATATGGGCCAACCAGGACCTGTATCATTGAGCATGAATATATTCACACACTAAGAATTTTTATTGCTGTTTTAATTTTGGGATATAAATTTTGTTTGCTAGCGCAATAGAGCTGTTTCAAATATAAATTCCCACTCGGGCCTTATGCTAGGACAAATAATTCTTGTCGAATAAACCTGTTGGCGGGCAAATTAGAAATTTGTTTAGAGAAACATGACATCGGTTTTGCCCACTTCGAGACATTAGCAACACCAGTAAATACGACGAAGGCGTCAATAAAAAGTGGCAATGATTTTATGCTCTAAACCAAAACCTAGAGACTGAGGATGTCTAGTATAAATTCTGGCTTACATTTGGGTCATCAATGCAGTCTCCGTGGTCAAGTCTATATGTGGAATTATTAGTACGAATTGGCTAACAGGGAGGAAATCTATCTCCGATGGATACATACCCTTGGATTTCGTAACTCTTATCATGCTCGAGCCCTTTATTCATTACATGCTTGCTGAGTTCAATGTCAAAAGTCTTTTGAACAGAGATTTTCTCTGTGTCCTTTTGTCCTTGCATAGAAGTATCTGCCATTTTAGGTAAGATAATTATATTCTTTAAATTCTTTTGTCTTAATAGCTAATTGACGGAACGGGGTTTTGGGGTTTTGGGGTTTTGGGGTTTTGGGGTTTTGGGG